ATTCTAAAAAGTGCGCCTTCAACGTGAGCTTAGAAAAATTCCTAGGCTTCATGGTAAAAAAAGGGGCATCGAGGTCAATCGAGACAAGATTAGAGCTGTCTTGGAGATGAGATCTCCAGCTTCTATAAAGGAGGTTCGCTGCCTTAACGGAATGATAGCAACCCTCCGTAGTTTTGTCTCAAAATCAACAGACAAATGTCTACCCTTGTTTAAGATCCTTTTCAAATCTTTCCAGTGGATACCAGACGCAAAGAAGACCTTCCAAAAGTTAAAGGATTATCTTGTTATGCCCCTCTTACTCTCCCATGCCATACCAGGAAAAACCCTATATATCTACCTCTTCTCTTCAGCCTCTACCATGAGCTCCATCCTTGTCAAGGAGGATAGAGGAGTCTAAAGGCCAGTATACTATGTAAGTAGGGAGTACCAAGGAGCGGAAGTAAGATACTCAGAGCTAGAAAAGTTGACACTCGCATTTGTCACTGCTACCAAGAGCCTATGTCACTACTTCTAGAGCCACACCATTATGGTTGTTACATATCAACCGCTCAAGGGAATCCTAGAAAAGGCGGATGTATCTGGATAACTATTCAAGTGGGTCATCGAGCTGAGTGAGTTTGACGTGCAGTACCAACTGAGGGCATCCAAAAAAGCGGAAACAATTGCAAACTTTGCGGCTAAATCTATGCCACTTGAAGATGATTGCCAGGAAGGAGTGCCCTGCGCCCTTGCACTCACCTGCCCAGTGCACAGCGCCTCAAGTCATCATGAGGCAAGCCCAAACACCATCCCCAGAGAGCTTGGAGCTTAAAGACAGCCCCAGGCCCCTTGAGTCCATAATTCTAGGCCAAAGGCGCCTAGTTCCCTTGCACTTACTCTGTGCCCTCGTTACACATATCCCAGCCTACCACACTCTTGCCTGCGTGCCTTGCCGTGCCTAAGCAAGTGTCACCCATTGGCACAGTCGTATAGTGGAGACTATATATATTGATGAATCCTTTACTTTTTTTTATAGATGCTTTACTAGCAAGGGTGGTGGAGCAGGGTTGGTACTAATTAGCCCACATGGCACTCTACTTAAGTACGCTATATCCCTCCATTTCGCAGCATCAAACAAACAAGTAGAATATGAAACTCTCATATCAGGCTTAAAGCTTGCAATAGAGATGGAAGCTCTTTGCCTGACAGTTTATAGTGATTTCCAACTGATAGTCAATCAGGTAAAGGGAGATTTCAAAGTGGAGGAGAAGATGCAAGAATACTTGTCAAGGGTCCAAGCTTTATTCAAAAAGTTTAACCACTTCCAAATCCATCATATGCCTAGAGAGGAGAATGTCATGGCAGATGCTTTCACCAAGTTTGCATCTGCTTATGGGCCCAGCACTAACAAGCCACCAATTTGAGCCGAGTAGGCTCAAGGCAAAGGAGGACGATTTTAACTGTGCATCCTTTGTAGCCAATTGGATGATACATATTCGAGCCTACCTAGAGGAAGGAACTCTCCCAAAAAATTCAGTGGAAGCCAAAAAGTTGAGAATGAGAGCATCTAAGTATGTCATCCTATGTGACACTCTTTACAAAAAGAGTTATTCACTACCATTGCTCCGTCGTCTCACCCCTAGGAAACTGATTATACCATGAGGGAAATCCACGATGAGATTTGTGAAAATCACTCAGAAGGGCATATATTAGCTCATAAGGCAGTAAGGTAAGGCTATTACTAAGGAGGTGTGACAAATGCCAACGTTTTGCAACAATGCCCAGACAGCAACCAGAAGAGCTCACCACCATCCTGAGCCCATGACCCTTCTTTATGTGGGGAATCGACATTCTAGGTCCCCTAACAATGAGTCGGGACCAAAACAAGTTTATGGTAGTAGCCATTGACTGCTTCACAAAGTGGGCAGAGGCCATGTCCTTGGCCAGAATAATGGACCAGAAGGGTGAATGACTTCATCTGGAGGAGCATAGTATGCTATTTTAGAATAGCTAATGCAATAGTAAGCGATAATGCTAAGTAGTTTAACAACAAAATCCTTAATAGCTTATGTGTTGACCTACATATCAAACAACCCCACTGTAGTCCTACCCATCCACATGCGAACGGGCAGGCGGAGGTCACCATCCAAACAATCCTCCGCAAATTGAAGACCAGATTGGAAAGTGCTTAGGGGCAATGGGTGGATGAGCTCCAAGGAGTACTATGGGCTTATTGGACAACTTCAAGAACTCTTACTAGATAGACACCATTCTACTAAGCCTACAAGACATAAGCGATAATACCAGTCAAAATTGTTGTACACTCCGTCAAGGTCCAATACCATAACCCTACCACTAATGAAGAAAGCCTCTGCATCAATCTCGACATGGTGAAGGAGGAGAGGGAGATGACCATGCTCAGAAATGCAAAGTACAAACGTCGCATAACTAGGTATTACAAATTGAGGGTGAAGCCTCGCTCCTTCTTACCTAGGGACTTAGTCCTAAAAAAGGTCATCCTATCCACTAAGGACTCTCGGGAAGGAAGTTTAGGACTTAACTGGGAAGGACCCTACATGGTGACAGAAGTTGTAAGACTGGGCACCTACAGAATTCAGAACTCCGATGGGAAAGCCCTGGCCCATCCATGGAATGCAGAACACCTGAAGAGTTATTATGAATAGCAGGCTGCAAGTCAGTAAGGGTTAGTGACTATCATTTAGATTATCTTTTGTTGTTTCGGTCAATTCTTTTTGTTATCTATTACTCCAGATTATAAATTAAAACTTTGCAAAAGTTACTTTGTCAAAAACTATCTCTCATTCCATAGATGTTCGTGAATAATTTAAAAATGTTAGAATATGACCTAACAACAAAAAGAGAAACAAAAGATAAAAGTTGTCATACTCCCGACATCTGTTATTGCTCCCCAAGCCACTATCATCAAAGCTCTACCCATCACCATCAGCCCCCAATGCCTCATAAGGGACAAAGCCAGAAAATTAAATGGCAAGAAAATCTACTAATACCTTTCCCTTAAGCTCCTCATAACCATCAATGAAAGCGCTTGCAGTGGCCCTCTCAGGAGCCTCGCTCCTTATCTCTTTCTCAATGGAGTGTCCCTTTGCCCTCGTGGCTCTCTTGTGAGTCACTTGTAAGTCAACCTCTGCCACGACAGCTCTTTCCTCGAGCTATCCCTAGCTCAGTCTTAGCAACAACGACCCTTTCGCAGGACACCCGCAGCTCTGTCTCGGCTCTCACGCAGGTAGCTTCTCTGTCAGTCTCTAGTTGAGTGGCTCTTTCGTAGGATGCTAGAAGCTCGGCTTCAAAAGGTGCAGTTCTCTCATAAGCTAACCTCAAATGCTCATCGGCTGCCTCTCAAGCCTATCTCTCTAGTCTCAACTACTCCTCAACAACCTCTCGTGCTTATCTTTCTTTTGCCAGATCGCTGTATACCTCTCCAAGCTTGATCATCCTTTAAAAAAAGGTAGAGAAAAGCAGAAGCCACCTACAAGCATTCAAAAAGCAGGGACATGAAGGAAAGAAAGCAGTATAAAATCAAGGTTGAGTAGAATGGGGTACCATGGAAAATTCTTCCATCGCGATATTTATAATGCCCTATGGACCTCGAGACCCGACCTTTTGATATCTGCAGAAGCCACAAACCCCCAAAGTCGCTCCTTGGCCAAGTTCACGTCCCGTAACATAGACACTGAGCTGCTACTAGAAGTAGGGCAACTTTGTGGAACATCAGTCCCCTTAGAAGACCACATTGGAGTCTCAACTCCTATATTGGTACTAGGGCTAGCTCTGGAATGCGAAGGAGTCGTTACTAGGAAAGGAGTAGGGGCACCACCAAGTCCCATCTCCCAAGAAGCAACCTAGCCATCAGACCTCACTCGATAAGAGTTGGGGGCATCGGACTTCACCCTCTGGGAAGGAGGGGAAAATGTCACCCTAGAAGCATAAATAGCCTCCATCATTGCTCTATCAATAACGGGACTTGCAAAACTGGTATAAGATGAAGGTTCTATAGTATTAAAATTATTGAAGCTTATTGGAAGGGTCAAATACATTTCCTTTTTTGCCTAAGAGAGACTCTAGGATGAACTGCCACAGATATGAGGGCTGTAAACTCCTTGAAAGGATGATCCTGAACGACCTAGAGCCTACTCTTCTGCTCTATAGATAACGTGGGTAGAGCTGTAAAAGAACTCAAACATGAAAGTGAATACAAGGGACATGACAGTCAAACGTAAAAGCAAAGATAAAATCTTTATCTAGCTTGTTCCTTGGAGCAGTGTCCCACATCGAAGGCACTAGGTCACAATCTTCCTCAGCGGCCCACTCACCTCCAACAAAGAAGAATTTAGATTTCCAGTTGTGGTAATTCGAGGACAATTTGGTAGTAAACTTGCCCAACCTCAGGGCAAAGCAGTACCACCCTTGATGAGGAGTAGGATTATCTAGAAGCACGTATAAAGCCAAGAAGTGCTCAAAAGGGGGAGGAATGTCAGCACCATGGACTAACCACCATAGTGAGAAGAATGTTATAATCACCGTCCAACTATTGGAAATCAATCTCCCTAGAGCTGGTGATAGGTGGCCCATGATCCAACATATGGGCCTAGGTATCAGAAACCTCAAACCCGTTTTCAGGATATCCTCATAAAAAAAATCTCCCCAGAGGAGTCAAAACACGCTGACTCATCCACCTCGGCTTGGTAACACATGACAAGAGGGGAAATATGATAGGATGACACAATGCGAGCAATATCATCATCACAATCTATAGAACTAAATATGGAGGTTACCTTTGAACCGTCTCTTTCAGCAGTCCTTTTATCTCACTGGGAATCCTACAAAGCATTCCTCATCATGCCTTTATCAAGGGTGGCGCTTGCAAAGAATCAGAGCTAATGTTAGAAGCAAAGTCAACAACATGAAGTTATCAAGTGAGCGCTATAGTTATTAATGTGCTGAAGGGCGAGCATGGTCAATTTACCAATAAAAAAGGCATCTCACTCCCACCTTCTAGCAAAGCTCAGGGCGTCCCCTTGACCACCTGGCTCGCTGACCACGTTGCTGGTCTCCAAAGCTCCACTACTTAGCATTATAGGATATGATCTGCCATCTACCATTTGCCCAAGGTGATGCCTAGCACAACCCCAGTCGAGTCTCGCATCCCCAGACGCCATCCAAGGCCTTGTCATGAAAATTAGTGCTATCTTGATAATTGCAAGCAGTGGCGCCGTCTTGAATCTCGCAAGGGGAAACTTCGTCGCCTAGTTGGGCCCCTACAATCATAGATCCATAATGTGTGGCATCGCCTAGGCTAGTGCTTATCTGTCTGTCATCACCCAAGTCAGTGCCTAACTGTCTAGTGTCACCCAGGCCAAGCCCAACGTAGGCGTCACCCAGGCCAAGTCCAGCGCCCAACTCGCCACATGCATAGATGACCGTTAAGCCCAGCTTGCTGCTAGTGCTGCCCAACGTGCCTAGTGAGCTACCCATTCTGCTGTCGCCACTTCACTCCCCTTCGTCAGCGCCAGTACCTAGGGCGTCTGCGCCTGTGGCGTCGCCTGGGCTGTTAGCTCCTCTGCCTTCGGCACTACATAGCTATCTATGAGTGGTCTCTCCTCTATCGAAATCCATAAGACTAGCACCAGTGAGATCCGCGATACCTGCATCCAGCAGCCTACACTGACTCCCAAATCTCTCGTGCCGCACGTGTCGTCACCTTTTCCTATAACATCACCCTTACTTGGACCAGTGTCTCCCACTGATGCCTTGCCCACAATATTGTTTGGTGTCGCCTATGGTGTTATAGGGTTGCCTTGGCCAGGCTCTCCTGAGGACCTTGCAGCCGTCTCCTTCGTAGAACCTTCCATGGACCTCTTCTTCGTCATTCTTCCACTTGCCTTCATGTCCTTTTTTCTACAAACTCTCTCTCAATGGCTTTTTGGGAGGAAGAAGGTTAAATAGGGAAGATAGGTTAGGTCTATATTGACCCCTTGAAGCCCTAAATTTTAAGCTTGAGAGGAAAAGGAGATTTTTTCGGTAAGGAGTAGAGTTTTTCCTCAGAATCTGGGGAAGATACAGTAGTAGGGGAATATGGGTGGTCAGTTACCATGTATGGAAGGAGGCATCATAAAGAAGGCTAAAGGGGCTATCGTGGAAATCAAGATACCTGCTACGCCTAGTAGAACGATTCACTCATGCCCTAGACTTCATTTTTCTTACAACTGGGGCTTAGGGCATAGGGACAAATGATGAGCCCAAATCCTACTCGTCCAAGCCCAATTAATGAGGTAAGCCCAAATCAGCTAAAAGGCAGGTCAAGCCCAATTCATGGGTTCAGCCTAGTCCGAGATTCAAGTAACCCAAGAAGTCAGCGTATGTGGGGAATTAAACACCGGGATAACCACTACTCGAAGATCAAGACAATCTTTAATTGTATCTATCCTTAACTGTAGCTATCTTTCCCAAATGACTAGTAACCTATCCCTTACGCCACCACCTCAACTATGCTTCTGTACCTATAAATTGTAAGCCCTTTACACATGAGGAACACTCCTCTGGATCCCTCCACACATTTTGCACAACTATCTGTCTTATATAACAATCTCACCTAAATGTTACCTTTTACTCTCTCTCTCCCACCTTTTACTTTATTAATAAAGTTCTTTGGCCACCGTCACTGTCTTCAGTAGTTTGGTCAGCTCGACCCAACCACCCAATCATTGCCTTTCTATTATTTATTGCTTCATTAATTGCCCATCACCATATACTTGATTGTTGATTGTGCATAAATTCACTTTTGTGCATCATCAATTCTAACAGTGGTTACACCTCATATCACATGTCGTAGTACTTATGGTGAACTCGTGGAAGCTGGTTAAGGGGGTACACACAAAATGAGGTGTTTTTTCCTCTGTCCAATGCATGTTTTCTCTAATTTTAATTTTAGTGAATTATCTACCGTGAATTTAAGCCAGACATTTTGTATATAAATGAAAGTTGGAACAAATATATAAAATTGGAGTTGGGCTCTATTTGGACTTGGAATTTGCAAGAAGTCATATGAAACTTATCCCAATGGACCTCATTATGTTTGGTGGCTTTAGTCAGGGCTAATTAATGATTTCACGATGACTGGTAGAATCTTGTTATTAGCAACAATACAATTTGGTCTTGAGTAAGTTATATGCTTGTCCCAAAATGTGATTCAATCTTAGAATGAAGAAGAAAAACAATTCACAGAGAGTAAAAAAATCCAAGCTAGTTCAACTTTTTTTTTTTTTATAAATAATAATAAAGACAAACAAAAATTTATGATATTAAAAATATTTTTTTTTGGAAACCTAAAATATTAATTTTTAGGCTAAATTACAAAATTTTGGGAGTCAATTTATTATTTTTTGGAGTATGTGAAATTGATCTCAATATTTGAGGATCAATCTTAAAATTTTAGGATTTATTCTAAACAATCTCGAGGAGTCATGTGATGATCAATATTGGTCCTAGGAAACGACTGTTAGACGAATACCACTTGACACTCATTTCCTAGGGAAGAGTGAAAGGACATAAAACTATGCCACGTGTACAGACAATGATTTACTCACGTGCCCACGATGAGGCACATCACATGGGCTTCTACCCAAAGAAAGACATAGTAATGCCAGAACTGAATCGAACAAGGGAGGTTTGAGGAACAAAGCACAACTTACAACACTAAGATTTATGTGGTTCGGAAAAATTACTTTGCTTACGTCTACGTCTACGAGACGTGATTTGATCTCATTTCTTTACTATTGAGAGAAAATGGGTGCAATGGTGCATGCCTCACTTGTTAGGTTTAAATCCCAAACCCAAGTCCTTAACCCCTTGTACAACCCACTCAACCTTACCCTCTCAAACTCCCAGTAAAGAAATTATCTCGTACTCTCAACAAGAGAATGAAAATTAAACAAATACAATTTTTGGGATGATCTCAAAGCCAAGAGACCCTTGCCTATTTATAGGCATCTCAAGGTGGTGGCAGATGAATTTCTTTGCATTTAAGTAATGTATTGGATTGCTCCACTTGTATCTACTAACAAGATTTTAGCAATGACATCATCTAACCACTTACATAGTAGCCCTCATCTCATTCATGCCATGGGATGCCTTGTCAATCTTTAACAGTGCGAAAGTTTGATCAAGTTCAAGCAATACTTTAACTTCTGTGTAATCATTGGCGTTGTCAAAATATTGGCTGCATTATTCTATGTGTATTTTCATCAAACTTATCATGCCATCCTCCACCCATTCTTTGATAGTGTGATACCTCACGTCGAGGTATTTTGTCCTGACATGATAAACTTGATTCTTTGCTAAGTAAATAGCACTTTGACTATCACAATACAACTCCAAACTTTCCTGCTTCAATTCCAATTCCTTGACCAAACCTGTCAACCACAAAGCCTCATTGGTAGCTTCCATGGTTGCCATATACTCCACTTCAGTTTTGGATAAAGCAGGGATTGATTGAAGCATAGCTTTCCAAATGATAGGTCTACCTACAAGAGTAAAAATATAACACGTAATAGACCTCCGCTTGTCTAGATCATCTGCATAGTCTGAATCTACATAGCCCACAACCTATCCTGTCTAATCTTGTCTCTCATACAAGATGCCAAAATCCACCGTATCTCTCAAGTACCTAAAAATCCATTTAATTGCATTCTAGTGCTCATTTCCTGGATTATCCATATACTTGCCTACAACACTAACTGCATGTGAGATATCTGGTCGATTGCAAACCATGGAATGCATTAAGCTTCTCACTGCACTAGTGTACGAAAATTCGGGACATTTCCTCCACCTCATCACCTGTAGACATACATAATCTAGTAGATAATTTAAAGTGGTCAGCTGGAGGTGTACTGATTGGCTTTGAATTAGCCATGTTAAACCTCTCTAACACCTTCTCCACATATTTTTTCTGTGGCACCATAGTTTGCCTTTTTCTCTGTCCCTCCAGATTTCCATGCCAAGGATCTTTTTTAGTAGCTCTTAGATCCTTCATATCAAACTCATTCCATAATCTGGACTTCAGCAAATCTACCTCATGCATGTTATTTGAAACAATTAACATGTCATCAACATAAAGCATCAGAATAATAAAAGAACTATTTTTAAGCATCTTATAATAAACACAACTATCACAACTACTTCTTATGTAACCAAAATGCACCATAAAGGAATCAAATCTCCTATACCATTGCCTAGGAGGTTGTTTCAACCCGTAAAGAGACATTTTAAGCTTGCATACCAGATTCTCTTTATCTTGTACCTTGAATCCTTATAATTGCTCCATAAATATTTTCTCCTCCAATTCTCCATGATGGAACGTTATCTTGCCATCAAGTTGCTACAACTCAAGGTCAAGCACAGCTACCATGGCTAACATAACACGAATAGAAGAATGCTTTACAACGGAAGAAAAAATTTCATTGAAGTCAATCCCTTTGATTTGCCTATACCTTTTTGCTATAAGAAAAGCTTCAAAATTTTCTCCTTCATTTTTTATTGTAGGTTCCTCTTTTCGATATACCCATTTGCAACCAATCACCTTACGCCCCTTGGGATTTTTCAACGAAATCCCAAGTGTTGTTTTTGTGTAAAGACTCCATCTCATCCTCTGTTATTATCATCCACTTTTCACTTTCTTTGTCATTGACAGTCGCCTGAAAGGAAGATGGATCTCCACTACCAATAACCAAGCAAAAGAAATCATATGCTCAAAACCATACCTGACTGGCGCCATATGAGTTCTTTTCTCTTTTCCAGAAGCTAGGATTGTGGATTCTTGTTGCTCATCATCACCACCAGATGTATCTTCTTGAGAGGACGTTGGTACATCATCCTCTTCATTAGGTCGTTGTGTTTCATCTGGCACTATTTGCTTTAAGAATTTTTCTGCATGAGCCTCCACCTGCTTGTTATCATCCTTCCTGTTTAAGTTCATTATATGTTCTTCATTGAAGACAACATCCCTGCTGATTGCAACCTTCTGGACAAATGGATCCCAAAGTTTGTAACCTTTCACGCCTTTTTCGTAGCCAATAAATATGTACTATTTGGACTTTGGGTCTAACTTTGATCGTTGCTGCTCCTGCACGTGAACATAGGTAGGATAACCAAATATTCTTAAATTAGAATAATCAACTAATTTACCTTTCCACACCTCCTCTGGGACTTTTCCATCAATCGCCGAACACAGTGACTTGCTAATAATATGTCATGCCATGTTAATAGCCTCAGTCCAAAATAATTTTGATGAACCTGCAAGAAGTCTCATACTTCTTGTTTTTTTCTAAAAGGGTCTTTTTCATTCTTTCCGCGACACGGTTTTGTTGTTGCCCACTTGGTGTAGTATAATGTCAAGTGATCCCTTCCATCTGGCAAAACTTTCTTAATTCCCAAAGTTTATGCTCCATGCCTCTGTCCATCCGTAGGTACTTGACCTG